ATATATATATATATATATATATTCAATGTAAATATAAGACAGTGTCATAATAGCATAAATATACAAATAAGCATTTTTAGTATTTCTTATAGTTGTTACATTCCCTCTTCCTCCTCTTCACTGGCCATAGTAAAGCTGATCATGGTTTTGCTGCAGCTGGCCAGATTTCCTCTGAGAGTCACATTTTGCACACTGTACAAGGTCAAAACATATTAATTAAACAAAAATTGATTATATTAGTATACCTTTCCCCTCCATTTCTGATGGAGTTTGGATTGATACACGTCAACAACCCTAAACTCTGGTGGGCCGTTGCTGCTGCATACTTTATCTAAAAAAATATTTTCTAAAAATATACAGCTACAAAATTTCTGCCTCAATTTGTCTAGAATCGCCATCATATTCAACATCTCCTGCTTGCACGATTTTTCCTATTTCTTACAATCAATTTCAAGGATGGCTACTATATCTGCAGTATATATAAAATTTGCAATCATGCATTATTGGCTGTAATTTAACACTAGTCATCAGCCATCACCATGACTGCCAATCTGATGCTCGAAAGTGAGCTTCGTGCTATCTTTTAAACTACAGCTTAAAGATTTCTTTTGTTGTAGACAGCTTAGATGTTTGCATAATGTTTTAAACATTTGTGTAACATGGCCAAAATCAATTATGCAGTGGTAAAAAAACTGTGATCTTGTCTGCAGAGTCATATCTGAAAGGTTTGATGTTTGTTCTTTTGAATTTTGCACAAAGTTACATGAAAGCTATCTGTGTAGCCATTCCTAATTTAGCAGTGAAAGCAGTTAGTCATCATCAGCCAAAGCCAACTCTTGGGCTACTCTTTTACCAATGAATAGTGGGATTGACTGTTACCCAGGACCTCTGGTTAACAAAAACTAGGATAGCTTATATACTCTTGTATCGCTCAGTGGTAGAGCTCTGTCTTTAATAGTCAAAAGTTCTTTTCCTGGATTCTCTTTTCACTTAAAATTTAAAGTTAAGTATATTTATCAGCCAACTTTGCAGTTTACAAATAGTAGCGACATTTATAAACTGACAAGTCAACTCATAATCTACAAATGGTAGCGACATTTATAAACTGACAAGTCGACTCATAATTTACAAATAGTAGCGGCATTTATAAACTGACAAGTCGACTCATAAT